TATCTATGGTACATGTCAAGCAATTAAACTTTTTCTTGTAATGTCGTAACTTTTCTCTGCTTCTGTGAGCACTTCCAGCATCACTAGTGGCACTTTGTATGGGTCCCTTACTGTTACTCAACGTTTAAGGTAGTGCACTAAATACTATGAAAACAAGAGATCTCTTCTTACTGTGATACAAAATTTACTGGAGAAACAAACTTCTCATGTAGAGATGAGGAACGTCACAAGGCATTTTAAAAAACAACAACAAAACAATCCATGTATAAGTGAACATACACAGTTCAAATGTGTGTTGTGTAAGGGTCAACTGTATTAAGAGGGTTCAACAAGGTTGCACAATATAAGGCCAATATGTTAACATTACTTTATATTAGCAATAATCAACTAGATTAGAAAATGAGAAATATTCCATTTCCCATCATTGTTGTTATTAAGTGCTGTCAGGTCAGTTCTGACCCATAGGAACCTTGTATAGTGTTTTCAAGGAGCAACTGGTGAGCTTGAACCGCTGATTTTATAGTTCAAACCAACTTTGCTTTCCAGTGCATTAACCCCCAGCAGCAGCACACCAGAACTCACACAGCAACAAAAATTATAAGGTCTCCAAAAAGATATTGAAAAAACATAAAATCTTCATTGAAGGACAAAAGTAGAGAGATAAACCTTATTTCTAGATGGGAAAATGTAATTTCAATCAATGATTTTTTTTCAACAGAGCTTTTCACATGGACAAAGGGTCTAGATAGTAGAGGCAATAGAAGAAACTTAACAAAAAGAAGAAAGAGAACAGAAAGAGGAGAAGGCCTTGGCATATATAACCCTTAAGTCCTGGTGTAGCAATGTTGAATCAACACTGGACTGTTAATCAAAAGGTTGGTGGTTCAAACCCACCAGCCACTCCTTGGAAACCCTATACAAGGTCACTATGTGTCAGAACCAACTTGGTGGGACTTAACAACAACAACATAAGACTATCATGAAAAAGCATGCAACATTGGTGCCCAGGTAGACAAATCGGCCAACAGAAGAGGAGAGACTCCAAGGACAGACACACGTAAATCTAGGAACATGAAAATGTCAGAAGCAGCATTTGAAAGGAATAAGAAAAAGCCTGCCTACAAAGAACCCTAAGGAGCTCTGGTAGTGTAGTGGTTACGAATCGGGCTGTGAACCGGAAGGTCAGCAGTTCGAAACTACCAGCCGCTCCGCGGGAGAAAGATGAGGCTTTCTGCTCCCGTAAAGATTTACAGCCTCAGAAACCCTGTACAGGGTCGCTATGAGTCGGAACCAACTCCATGGCACATAACAACAACAACAACAAAGAACTCTGATGGTACAATGGTTAAGAGGTGGGCTGTTACTGAAAGATTGGCAGTTCAATCCCATGCAGTGTCTATAACTGACCAATATTTTGTTGTTGTTAAGTGCTGTCAAGTCGGTTCCATTCATAGTGACCCTGGATAGTGTTTCCGAGGAACGGCTGGTGGGTTTAAACTGCTGACCTTGTGGTTAGCAGTCCGGTGCGTATCCTAGACTGTTAATCACAAGGTCAAATGATTAGTGCACAGAATATATTAAGAACACTTACAAATTAAAGAGAAAAAAGTCGCTCAGTAGAAATAGAATCCTGATGTAGTGCTTTAGGAAAAACACTGGACTACTAACCACATGCTCAGCAGTTCAAACCCACCAGCTGATCTCAGAAACCCCACACATGGTTACTATCAATGGAATTGACTTGACAGCACACAACAACAAATGACAGTAAAAAGAACAGGAAAAGGTCACGAGCAGGCAAGTTACAGAAGTGGAAATATAAGTGATCAGAAAATACAGGAAAAGATGTCCAACCTCACTAGCGATCCAGATATGCAGATCAAGTAAGCAAAATAAAATGAGATTGAATTTCACATCCATCAGAATGACATAAAACTTACAAGTCTGATGGTACCAAGGGTTGGTGGCATAAAAAACTTAGAACTCTTACATTTTGCTGCTGGTTAAATTGATTCGACCACTTCTGATAATAATTTATCAAAGACTAGTAGCAAAGTGGACTCCTGGTGTGGCACTGTAGGATAAGCACTGGACTGGGAATCACAAGGTAGGTTGTTCAAACCCATCAGCTGCTTCTCAGAAACCTTATACAGGGTTGCTAGAGTTGGAACTGACTCCATGACACTTAACAACAGTAGCAAGGTGGCTCCATACAGTAAGCATTGGACTGAACCACAGGTTGATGGTTTGAGCCCACCAGTTGTTCTCGGGAAAACAATGAAGTTTTCTGCTCCTGCAAAGATTTAAAGCCTCGGAAACCCTATACAGGGTCTCTATGAGTCAGAATTGACTCGAAAACACTTAACAACAACAACACTAATGTTAATGATTTATATACTCTAGGGAAATACGTCACATGCACAAGAGACACATCAAGATTGCAATGTTGTTTACAATAGCAAAATATTGACCTTGTCCAATAAAAAATTTTGGGTAAATGAACTCTTGTGGAGTCCTGGTATAGCGCTGTAGGGTAAGCAATTGACTGCAATGTTAGTTTGAATCACAAAGTCAGCAGTTCAAATCCACCAACCGCTCTTCGGAAACCCTATACAGGGTCGCTATGGGTCAGGACGAACTTGACCGCAGTTAACAACAATAACAACAAATGAACTCTTAATGGAATACTATATAGAAAGAGACAAAGAGCCTTGAAGAAAGACAGAACTGCTAGGCCTAGCTCTTGTTCTGCTTCGAAATGAACATGAGACTTACGTAAGTTGCTTTTCCCTTTGCATAGAATGATCTTCCCCAGATATTCTCATCACTTGTCCCTTACCCCATTCAGGTCTGTGTGCAAATTCCACCTGCTCAGAGAGAATTCCCAGACCCCATTATCCATACAACAAGCACCCTGACATAGTTTTGTCACGAAGCAGTGTAGTTTAAAGTCTAAGAATGTAGACTCTAGGACCAGACTGGATTCAAATTCCAGCTTTACCAAGTGCGCTTTGTATGACCTTAGGCATCTTATTTAAGGTTTCTGTGATTCAGTTTCCTCCTCTGTAAAATGGGGATAATAATAGATTTCACCTCAGAGGGTTGTTGTCAGGAATAAATGAGTTAATATGCCAAGGGCTCAGAACAGAGCCTGGCATAAAGTAAATGCTATTGTTTTTGTTGTTAGGTGCCATCGAGTCAGCACCGACTCATAGCGACCTTATGCACAGCAGAACCAAACATTGCCCGATCCTGGGCCAACCTCACTATTGTTGCCACGCTTGAGTCCATCAATGTTGCCACTTGGCCAATCCATCTCATTGGGGGTCTTCCTCTTTTTCTCTGACCCTCCACCTTACCAAACATGATATCCTTCTACAGCGACTGGTCCCTTCTGACAATATGTCTGAAGTATGAGAGACAAAACTTGGCCAGTAAGTGCTAGTTACCAGTAAATTACATGGTAGTTAAAGTGAATGAGCTAGACCAGAGTGGCATGGGTAAAGCCCATAAACATGATGCTAAGTGAAGACAGCAGGTCCCACATTTGTTGTACCTTACCCAGAAATTGTCATAATCAAGGACAGTACACAGTCTAGTCCTTGATTGCACACCCGAGTGATGTAATGATCTTGTCCCTTTCTCTCCTACCTGGTCTCCCACCTCCCCCTCCCCAACCCCACTGGTCTCCTTGCTGCTTCTCCATCTGGAAAGTTCTTCCCCAGATATTCAAAGGGCTTGCTCTCTCACTTGCTTGGAGAGGCCTTTCCCGACCACCCTTTCTAAAATGTTGTTGCTGTTGTTAAGTGCCGTAGAGTCGGTTCTGACTTGTAGTGACCTTATATAAGTTTCCAAGGAACAGTTCGTGAGCTTGAATCACTGACCTTACTATTCAAATGCATCTTGCAGTCCAACGCAATAGCCCACAGTGTCACACCAGTACTCCTTTCTAAAATAGCCCCTGCTTTATTTTTCTCTAGGAGCCCTCATAATGCAGTGGGTTAGGCATTGAGCTGCTAAATGCAAGGTCAGTGGTTCAAACCCACCAGTTGCTCTGTGGGACAAAGATGATCCCGTCTTAAAAACCCTATGGAGCAGTTCTACTCTGTCCTAGAGAGTCGCTGCAAGTCGTATGCAGGTTGATTTGGTTTGGGTTATTAGTCTGTGGTGCATTTCTCCTATATCTCTTCCTAAGGCTACCTGTTTAAATGTCTCCTCTCGAGAGTTTCTGCTCCACGAGGGCAAGGGCTTGGCCCTCAGTGCCTGACACAGAGTAAGTATCCAGCAAATAAGAAAACACACTCCAAGGCAGCCTGTGTGGTTGTTGGGAAACTCCCGCACCAGGTCCAGACTCTCTGGGGCTCTGGGGACACTTCTGCCTCTGCTGCACGGGACTATGCTTTTTCCTACTACAATCAGCAGCCAGGCCCCGTCTTTCCCTCTGGGGACCCTGTCTGGCAGGGCACAAGGTGGAGTAAGACTTTCCAGATTTTCCCCTCTCCCTTTTCTGGTTTCTCCCATTCCTAGTTTCTTCTCCCAAACCCCAAGGCTTCCATCCAAGCTGGCTGGATGCAGATTTGGCAAATCCATTTCCCCCAAGGTGTAAAAGCTCTAAATGCTGCCCTTCCCAAAGACATTTTTATTTTTAGAAAGCCTGGCAGGAACGACACTTAGCTCCAGTATATGACTGTGTCGTGATGTAACTTCTGACACCAGGATGTTTGAGGGGGAGATACTGCCTTCCCCTCTTAGATCTCACTTTGTAGCTCAACCCAAGCTTTGGAGACTGGGCATCTTACAGACAAGGGCACTAAGGGAGAGGGAGAGATGGTCCAAATTCATACAGTGGACAGAGACGGAGACCTGGGAGCCCCCAACCTTTGACTGTCCCAGCTGCCTCTCTTCCTGCCACCCAGAAGGACTGTTGTGGTTTCCAAAGCATTCATCCCTCCAGAGAATCCCTGATGGCTGAGAGAACCCAAAGCAAAGAAAGGCCTTACTCATTTCAATCCCGCAGACTGCCAAGGCTGCAATCACGGCACCTGCAGATGTCCCTGCGAAGCGATGGGCCGTGTCCAGCATCCGTGGGGCCAGGTCCCTCAGGGCGTCTACAGCCCCAGCCTGGTAGAAGGAGAGGAACCCACTTCCTGAGAAGGAGATGGAATGAGGGGTGTCTGGGTCCCCCTTGAACACCTGCTCATCCATCTCATCAGCTTCAGGCCTTCTGTGGTGGGGAGAAACCTGTCTTCAGGGCTGTCCTGCCAAACTCAGGCCTGTCGCTCCCTGTTTGGACTTGCTACCAAGAAGCGTCCTTGCCAGACTGGGAGCCTGGAATGTAGCCGATTCTACCCGGCAGGCTGTGGCACTGGAGCTGGCTCAAACAGTCGTCACCTGGACCTGTAAAACTGCACCAGGAAACAGCGCTGAAGGACGGTGAAGGGTCCTAGCTCCAGGATGAGAAGCAGAAAACTCCCTGATGCGTAAGCAGGGTCCCAGTGCTGTGAGCTGCCCTCTGGCTTCATTGCTTGGCTGGCTCCATCATCAGCACCGTGCGCAGCCCTCCGCCCATCCTTTCTGTACCTAGGAATGATCCCAGCAACCTGTGCGGGGCCAGGCCCAAAGAGGCGGACATTACTCAACCTCTAAACAGCAAGTTGCAAAACCTCAGCTGATAGTTATCAGCAGGGTCCCTCCCTCTCTGACAAGCTATGTAGGTGAGGGGGTTAATGCTGGCCTCCCTCCAGGAGGACAATGTCCTCACTTCACCATCCCCACTGGGCACTGGGGGGACACACACACTCTCCCACTCCCCTAACACACATACACACACTCCAAAAGCCTCTCACTGAGCCCCTTCTGTGGCTCCCTGTGGTCTGGGAGGAGTGTCACATAATTATTTTCATTTGTTCTCCTTACATCTGTGCCCTTTTGTTTATTCACATGTTGTTTATTCATGTTAAGACTGGACATGGGCAAAGTTTGGTTCTTGGGTCCCACCATCTGTTCTGGGCCCTTCACTAACCTTTTAATCTTTAGTCAGCACCCTCACACCAAGCCCCCAAAGACTTACACTATCTCCTAAGAGTTCAGGAAAAATTTGGATCTAGATGATTTGAAATATTTGTTGTTTGGTGCCTTTGAGTCAGTTCTGACTCATAGTGACCCTGCGTACAGAACACTGTCTGGTCCTAGGGCATCACTGTGCACACTTGGCTATCTACTGTGAAATGCTGGGTTTGAGATGGCAATACTCAACTCCAAGGTAGAGGTCAGAGCAGAGAGGGTTTAGGAGCCCGGGGCTGGGGTGGTGGCACCTGGAGACTAGGGTATGCAGCACATAGTTTTAGGGAGTATCTGAGTCCATTAGACCAGCTAGCCTGCATTTCGTTGTATATCCAACAGCACTGATGTGCCACTTCCCCCAGACACTAAATAGTGGCAGGACCAGGATTAGAATCGACACCAATTCCCTTGCCCAGTACAGGTTTTCTGTTAGGATGTGCTATCGATGATCTAATCCATCTCAGGGAACCCCACCAACACTGTGGCCTCACTGATCCACAGCGGGATTCCAACAAGGAAGGCATTGCCAAGGATTCAGTTAGGAGTTTCCTGCCTCAGTTAGGAAAGAAAACTTTTGATTGAACGTGTGTGTAACAGAAAGAGAGACTGAGTATGTGTGTGTGTAGTGTACCACTGGGGTGGTGGGTGGGGGCGGGTGGGATGAGACAGTCAGCTTTGGGAACATAGAGATTTTGCCTCCTACCTGGAAAATCAGGTCAACTCGACTAAGTATTTGTGCCCAGCTCTGTGTTCAGTGCCTTGAGGGATGAGAACAAAGTGGAAGAAGCTCCAACCCCTAACTCAGACCCTCACAGGCTTCTTAGGGTAGCAAGACAGGCAAATGTGAAATAGCTACAGAACCATACAAACCTGTTTTGGTTTAGTCGATTCGACTCATAATTACCCTGCAGGACAGGATAGAACTTCCCCATGGAGTTTCCAAGGCTGTAATTTTGGTGGAAGTCTACTGCCCCATCTTTCTCCCTTTGAAGAGGTTGGTGAATTTGAACCATTGACTTTTTAGTTAGCAGCTGAATGCTTAACGACTGCACCATCGGGGTTCCTGGAAAACCATATAAAACAGTCTATAAGTAATAAATTGTGCAGAGTCAAGACTCATGCCAGAAAAATTAAGAGAGTTTGAGGAGTGTGGACTGAAACCATCAGAGAAGCCTTGTTGTGGTGCTGTGGTTTGGGGAATTTGAGAAGCTGGGCCGAGGAGAGAGGGAGTTGCCGCAGGGAGCAGCACGAACTCCTTATAGAGGTGGGGATGGGTGTGATGGAAGGCAGTGTACACAGGAAAAAGGGCTTTGGACCAGACAGACATGGTGCTAAATAGTCCCAGAGCTGCTATACACAGACAGTGTGACCCATGTGACCACAAGTTCCCTCATCTGTAAAAGAGACCATAACTCCTGAAGGATGAAGCTACAGTATGTCTGTTATTGTCAGAGTGCAGTGGCGCCCAGGCTTCTGAACCAGATGGACTTGGAAGAAATGGACTGAAAAGGTTGAATGAGGAAGTCCTACTCTTTGTGTAGGAGGAGACTGGTGAGTTCCCTAGAAGTACACTCTTAAAAGGAGGATGAGGGCGGAGGATGGTACCAGGCCAGGGTGGTGGCTGCAGGGACACAAGTTAACGAAGCCATTGCCACAGAGGACTCTCAGAACTGGGGACTGGTTGGATGGGAAGGGTGAGTCATGACCAATGCCTCTATTTTAGCCTGGGAGTGAGGAGGCGTGAGGCTGCCTTGGGCAAACTTGGCACAACTGGGTGGAGAATGAGGACTCATTTTACTTTAAGATGTGTCTGAAATGACAGTAAGACATTGGAGCTGCCCATGAGGAGCAGGGACAGTCCCAGAGAGGCCCTAGACATGCCTGCCAAGGAGGCAGCATAATAGGATGAGTGGACAGAGGTGGCACCAGACATGTTAAAGTGGCTTTGGACAAGTATTCTCTTTCCGGGTCATCTTAATGTTCCCAGTGAAATAAAGGGGCTGCAGAGGGCTCAAGAAATCTGGGACCCTCAAGGCCAGCCCCTTGTTTTGACACAGCCTTGCCATCTCCACTTCCTCTGGCCTGGTTGTAGATTGGATCTTGGTCTTCAATAAGTGAACATTTTTCAATTCCATTGGGCTCTTGTATCCCACTTAAGGAGCAAAAGACCACAGCAGATGCAGCAGAGTTTCTATGCAAACAAGCAGCCAAGTTTGTTAGCTGTTTGCACCACCCAGAGACTCTATGCTAACAGGTAAACTATAGAAATTCAGGATTGCCCATTAGAGAGCTCCATAGGAACCTTTAACCTGGACACCAAGTACTAACACACCTGTTGAGGACCAGTAAGCCTCAGGGCTTAGCCTGGCCTGTGCCCAGTGTTAATGGACCAAGAAGGTTCATCTCATTGCCTTTTGTTCCTGAAATTACAATTCAATCTCTAAGAACTTCAAGTGGATGACATCAAGGGAAAAAATCACTTTTCAATTTTTCTGATTTTGACTTTTAAAGTCGTCTCATAATCCTGTCAGGAGTTTTTAGTTAACACCACTTGCATGACTCATCACTCCCTGAGAAAATCACATGCAATAAACTGAGATTTTTTTATCATGCACAATTCCAACAAGACACCTAAAATGAATTTATGGAAGAATATGATGTTTCCATAAGTGTAAGGAATACAAATTCACTCAGTACACTGCTCTTGGGGAGAAAGATGGCATGTAGATTTTGGATTGACCTTTCATTGATGGTGTACCACTCCACTTTAATCTTATAAAAATCTCAGTTTTGTGAAGAACCTGGTTGTTTCGTGATGTGACGGAGTTAGAAGCTCACAACATGACCTACGAATATTCTTGCCAAAATGGTTTACCCTGAATCGAATTGAGATCTAACTTCTAATTTAGAGTGATATAAAGAACAAAGGGACAAGTGGGGATATGAGGGAACAATCAGACCAATTGATAATATGGAAAGGACTGGGGTTATTACCCAGCAGTCATCCCCAACCGACTTGTTTCTTACCTGCCATCATATGTTGTTGTTGGTAAGTATGTCAAGTTGGTTACAACCCATAGCGACCCTGTACAGGGTTTCTAAGGAGCAGCTGGTGAGTTTAAACCACTGGTCTTGGGGTTAACAGTACAGCACTTATCTATAGTGCCACACCAGAACTCCAGTGTCCCTATAAAGTAGCTGAAAAGGCTTGATTCCCAGACTTGATTTTTCAGACTCCCTTGTGGCTAGGGATGACCATGAGAGCTAGTTCTAGCCAATGAGAAATAAGGGGAAACCTGCTGGGTGACTTCTAAGAAATATTTTCCTCCCTGGTAAAGATAAAAGTATATAGTAATAAGACCATCTTTGTCCCACATGTCTTCCTTTCTGAGACGCCATCCTGTAAGAACATGGCCCTGGTGTGGTGCTGCAGGTTAATGTACTGGACTGCAAGATCGGTTTGAACTGCAATGTTGGCAGTTCAAGCACAACGGCTGCTCCTCAGAAGCTCTGTACAGGGTCGCTATGGGTCGGAACTGACTCCACTGCACATCACAACAACAACAACAACAAGAACGTGGTATTTGGAGTTATGGCAGTCATCTTGAACCCAATAGGGGAAACATGGCAGACACACTGAATGCATGAATTATCTATTTCTGTATAGCAAATTACCCCCAAATCTTCAGTCAATAAGATTTATTATCTCATCTATTCTGAAAAAAGGAACTTTGGTAGCATAGTGGATTATGAGCTGAGCTTCAAACCCTGAGGTCAGCAGCTTAAATCTACCAGCCACTCTGAAGAAAAACGATGAGACTTTCTGCTCCTTTAAAGATTTACAACCTTGGAAATCTTTAAAAACAGGGTCAGTATGAGTCAGACCAACTCCATGGCACATAACCACCACCACCACCATAGTTCTGAAGATTAGGAATTAGGAAGTGGTTTAGCTGAGTGGTTGTGGTCTCAGGATCTTTTATGAGATTGCATTCAATCTGTCAGCCAAGGCTAATGAAGCCATTTCCAAACTCACTTACCTGGTTATTGGTATGTCTCAGTCATTATTTGGTTATCGGCAAGAGGCTTCAGTTCCTTACCACACAGACCTTTCTATTAGGTTGCTCCCAACATGGCAGAAG